TAAATGACATGAGAGATCAAATAAATTCCCTAATGATTCTTTCTACGTCCTTTGTTTACTGTCATCAAGAGCAAATGAAACTTAGTCCCTATTTATTCCCCTTTTATTTGATTGACTCTAATTTTGCAGACAAGGCGTATTCAGCAGAAGTGTGAAATAATTATTAATGCCATTTCAGAGTTAAGTAGATTAATCAGTTCATGCATCAATCTGGAGACTTTGAAACAACTCAGCAGCACAACTCATAGCAGATTGCTGTTTTTTTGATTTTTTATTGTTGCTTCAAATGAAGACAAAACTCGTTTGCTGTGCTTTTGTGTTTGGCATCACCTGTCTGTCTCTATAGTATCCAGCTGCATACCCGCAGCACACCAGTTTCAGAACCCCAGAACCGGAAGTAAGGGGCGGAGTTACGTTCTAACCAACACCAGGGCCAGGAGCGTAACTGAGGGGCGGAGCTTAGGTTTGAAACCTAATAACGCCACCTAACGTACATTTGGAGGGTATTTTACACATGAAACAGCTTTTATTGAACAAGAAACGTCCTACTCTCTACGTATGTATGTTATGATACTTACAGTACAATATATAAACATTTTAAAACATTGATTTTGTGTAATATAATTGTATATGGTTTCAGTTATTCGTTTCATTTTATTATGAGTTACTTCCTGATCATGATGGTGAAAAAATAATACTTGAAACTAATGGGCATTTTAATGTAACAGTTTAATAATTTTAGCTAAGCAGTTAGGCCTTTAAAATACGCGCCGCTCACCCATGCGGTGTGAAACGGCCGTTAGATACACGCTATCGTGCACACATAAATCTCTGACCCATCGTGTTCTTCCTCGTCTATCTTCTGTTGCTCTACTTACGTCATCTGGTATAATTGAAACGACTGGCTATGAGCTACGTACAGGTGCATTTGATAGACATTCTTAGCTCCCAATAAATGGTTCCCTGACATTAGCCAGGCTAATGCAAGTCATGTTTCAGACCAAAATTGTTTAGAAGAGAGAATGGTATAGGCCAAACCACATAAAAGGTAATCATGAGATGTAAAATTGGACACATGTTAATACATTTATCACATGGTCACATAAATATATATAACCACATATAGAATTAAAAGGGTTTATTTCTCCTTCTCAGCAAGAATTAAGTCACAATTCCCTGCAGATTCCTTTGGGGTCATAAAACTCAGTCTCAATGTGTCTGGGTTCTGCCAGTGGGTAGGTTTTATTTGTGATGTCGCACGCTACATATCTTCTGAACAGGTTATTGTTAGTGAGTCAAAAAAAATGTTGAAAAATGAATTGATTGGATCGTTGGATGGTTGCGGTTTGCTATTGCTGTGATGTCATGTGAGTGACAGGTTGATCACATTGACAGGTAAACACGTCATCAGAGAAGAGAAGAGATGCAAATTACAAGGCCACAAGAACAGAAGAATATGATAAATCACTTGGATAAATCATTTACTATAAATACTGCAATATTCCATTAAAGAATTTTTTTTAATGGTGTCTTTATAAAGTGTGTGTAGTTGGTGATCACACCTCTTGCAAAAATTGTTTTCAGTGTATCCATCCATCCATCCATCCATCGATTCTCAAACCACTTATCCTCTGTAGGGTCTCGGGGATGCTAAATCCTAGTTTTCAATTGGTTTATTATTATTTGAGATGTCCCTCTATCTATTCTTTCAAAGTACTAAAACCAGAGCCGGAATCATTAAATTCCTTCCCCTAGTTGTGAGTCTAGGCTGGTCTAAAACCTTGTATTCCCTGCATGTCATCAAAGTTACAGCAGTTATTATAATACACTCAAACATTTATTCAGTGCTGCTCCATTTGACCAAAGGACGCCCCCAAACTGAAAATGGAGCATGTTAATAATCTCATCTTATCACCGATTGGCTGTTAGAGGAAGAAAAAGTCAGCCTCTTCTGACCCTCCCAAAAATACCCACAGCTGTCCTGTTCACTCCCCGCTCTCCTCATGATTAAAAGAAAATAGCTGTTCGCTTCTCATTAATATCATAAAGGACAGAGCAATGCCCAGGAGTGAAATAGTAATAGCGAGAAAGAGAAGGCGATGCCAAGGTGGTGTAAGATTGTGTGTTCATAGTACTGAAAAGGGCAGTCCCCAAAATGCCTGCATATGTAATTCAGCGCAGAGTCTCACATAGCATGACACAATGCTGAAACCTCATGGCAGGGGAGCCGCTTCTTAGAAGACTTCAAGATGATGCATGTGTGGAGGAGAGAATGCTCTCAGGCAAATTCAGACTTGCAGCGCTTGCTGCCTTATCAAGTTGTGATTTCTGCCCTTACCTTCGATGGTTCTCATGATTTGCTTGTTTTTCTTTGTCTTTCTTTTTTTCTTAATTTATCACCATGCATACTTGTGTATGCATTTGGGTTTTCTGCTCATCTCTGTTGTGGAGAGGTCTTCCCTTGTCTCTGTCCTGAGGGCCAGAACAAATACACCACTAATATTGCACCATAACATAATGTCTGTTTTCTCCTGTGTGTGGTCATTTGTGAAACAGTCATGGAAATGCTATTATCCAACTCCACAAACATTTCACTACTGACATTACCACAAGGCATTGTAGCTATCATTTGAATACATACATATTAATGAATTCACGGTTATCAGAGGCCATAGTGCAGAAATACCTGTTGAAAAGTATATGGGCATGCTGAGCAGCACATTAAATATGCCGGAGACTGTAGATGGTTTGTGCAGAAAAGAATCAAAGGCTCATAATTCTCATCTCTAAAGCTCAAATATAGACTTTATTGACAGAAAAGTTGCTTGTATAATGGCTTAACAATGTTGACTGTAGTAGCATCAGGGTGGTGCTGTATCCATTAAAGGCTATTAAAGAAACATTTATATTTAATGAATTTAATCCTTTAAGGATGTTTTCTCATTTTAAATAATGTTCCTGTGAGGTTAAGTGTAAACTAAGATATAACGTTTCAACTAAGATTTTGAGGATGTTTTGGAAGTGTTGTTGAGATAACAGATAATACAATGTTCTCAATAAAACATTAGCACAATGTCCCATAATAACAGAGGAGAAACATTATCAAGTCAACGTTCGCGAAATGTTATGATATCATTGAGGCCTGAGATTACGGAATGTTTTTTTTTATAAAACGTTATTGTAATATGAAGTGTTAACAAAACTAGAATGTTTTAAATGTAACATTTTGAGGATGTTTTTGTGGCAAACATTTGTAGAATGATCTTTTATAAAACATTGACAAAAAGTCCCATAATAACAGAGGAGGAACATTATCAAATCAATGTTCGCAAAATGTTTTGAGGATATCATTGAGACCTGAGATGACGTAGTGTTTTTTTATAAAATGTTCTTGTAATGTGACATGTTAACAAAACTAGAACATTATATGTATTTAATGACGTTTCTCTCCATTGGGCTGATTCCATACGTGCTTCATGACGCACAACGCAGGGGCGTTCCCACAGCGTTTGACGCAGCGTCTCATTCCCTATCAGAGAACTAGGGTTACATACGTAACCGAGACGTTTTTCTTCCAGGTTTTGGCTATATTCAGTCATTTTGGATAAAAGGTTTGCTAACTGTATAGTGTAGGGAATGATACTTTTGAAAGCACTGTTTTACAATCTCGAATCCCTCACTGAAAAAAATGATTCTGAGTGCATGTAAATGTTACGTAATTAAAATGTGTAATATTAACAATAAAATGTTACGTTTATATCTTTACATAATATATCTGGTTTTGAATTTATCTTCATTTGTTCAAAACACAAGACAATGTGCATATTTTTACCTTACAAAATTAATCTAAGTAATCTCAGCCAATCTTTTTAGGCACACGCACTCAACAAACAATACCTTGTTTAATTTACTCAGTGCAAAAAATTACTCCCCTTCCTGTTTTTTGGTCTGAAAACCCCTTGCATTTCAAATGAAGAGGGAGCCTACACGTGGAGACTGAACTCAAGGTAAGAACAAAGTTAGAAAAGTAGGCTAACAATTAAGGTTACTTGGGTTTGTACATTCTTTACAGTGTTCCAATTGTTGTACAAAAATTAGACTTTAAATGTAATTTGAAGATTGCTTTGTCGTACGTGGATTTTCTGTTAATTACCATGTGGCAACGCTGGGATGGCTATGTTGCTTTACGTGTGGTCTAACATTAATTGAAACTTTGCAAGTGGCCATAGAATGGTTTGTTCTAGTGTAATTTAAAACCAGCGTTATAATCCAGCAATAAAATAATGTAATGTTAGTGCAAGCACGTGGATTTTTAGAGCAGCCATGAATAAATTAGGGTAACATCATTCGTTTTTTTTCCCCCAACCTGGGCCTAATTTTATTCTTTAATAAATATGTATTTGTGTTTAAGTGACTGATGGGAACAACAATCTTTTAAATTGGCCAGGCTTAGACCGCTTCAGTGTGTAGATGCGAAAGAATTAACGTTAGGCCTATAGGCAAATCGTACGTTATATGGGTAATTGCGTTCTTTTACATCCACAAAACCTGCTTGTTTTGCCACTGACATGCTATTCTAAGTGTCTGACGACATTACCTAAGATCGCGGACAGCTCCAGCGGTAAAATTAACACGTTAAATCATTTTACTTGACCTAAAAACTGACTATCATATTAGAAAGATTTAAGATTCCAGCTTGGATATTTGGCCACTATTTATGACAAAACTGAGTTGCAATGACTTTCTGTCTTTCTTTCTTTTTTTTCTTTTGTCAAATAGTGCAGATAACCATTATAATATCATTATAATTTATTTGTGTTCACATAGATGGAATTGACAGCATCCGCGAATAACTCCAAACGTGGGCGCATTTTTAGAAATATTGATTTAGTTTGCGCGCTCTGTTTTTCTTCATGGTTTGTGTAAGGTGTTTTTTATACTTTATGGTTAGAGCGCTCATTGGGGGTTTTCAGCCGTCAATCATCTCGTGACCATAGTCCCGCCTTCAGCATGAAGCGGTTCGCTGCACGCTTCCCCATCGGAGCTCCGAGGGAAAACAAACCCAAAGTAACAATTAAACTGAAACTGAAGAAAATTTGCTTACTGATGAGCAGGTCAACTAATTGCAGTGTTGTAGAGAGAGTAAAATGTTAAACTATTTTTAATTAGGCTATAGTTGTAGTTACAATTTTTTGCTATGTTTTTGGTTTCTTGCATTGGTCAGTTAACCATAACACTGTGTCCTTACCAGGTGATCCTCCTGACAAGTAGGCTACACTGGATAAAGGTTTGTAAATTTCTCTAAATTGGTTTATTGTAGTGAGGAAACTGGGGGTATAGTTATAATGTCAAATGGCAAAATTCCTGTTGTCCTGTTTATATAGAAAGTTTTAGTGCTCTTCAATACAGTAGGCTACATGTGACACATTTACTCATGACCAGTGATGCTGGCATTTCTACTAAAAAAAAATTACAAAAATAGTAGCCTAATGCACAGTAACTTGGATAAGTAACTGAAATCTGAACACTTTTGTCAGTCACAAGCAATAATGTGCTACTATTTCCAAAAACGTAATCAGATTAAATGTACTTATCCAAGTTACTGTGCGTTACTATTTTTGTCATTTTCTTTAGTAGAAATGATGGCTGGTATGCGATATGAAACCGAAATTGCGATACTCCCTGTGTCACTGTGTGAGAAGGCAGAATCGCGACACACCCCTTCCAACTATCAGAGTTATCCTTCCCGTCCAGATCCAATGCTACCACATTTTTTAATTACTATTAGTATTCTTTGAAGTTAACATTATAAAATACATAGACCTACACCACACTGCACATTCTTCGAGCACATGCTTGCACAAATGTAAATAAGTATATAGAACAAAACTACCACAGCACGTAATCCCACCAAGATTTCTGTTTAGAGCAAAGAGCTGTATGCATTCTTCACATTAGCAAACAAAAAGTAGGTTAAATTTTCTCTTGTATCCCACATGGAAAAAAACTATATAAACATATGTTTTAATATAGGTTTTGATATATGTTTTTAATATATGTGATATATATAAAATTGGCCGTTTTCCTATATTATATGTACATATATGCACTAGGGGTGTAACGATTCACTCGTTTTCTCGATGCATCGATTATAAATCCTGGCGATGCATATGCATCGATCCTGAAACATGTATTTTGAATCGTGAATCGTTTATTTACGTGAATAATCGATTTAAAAGGCTAAGAATCGAATTAATCACGATTTTATAGCGATTCAGTGGTTTAAAATATATAAACACAACCTTAAAGTGTTCCTGGTAGAAGCTGCCTCACGCATTGACCGTCATACGACGTCCGCATTTGATTGGTTTCAGGCGCTCACACACCCCTGATTTCTCACGCTGAAGCCCGGTCGGTCAAATGCCTGAAAGATGAGTTTATCTTTCTACCTGTTGAGCTACTCATGTCGTGATCAGCTTGTATTACCGCAAATTAGTTAAAATCTCCCGGAATCTAGAGCGAGCGTGCATACGAGACAGAGGTTGTACTCCAAACCGCGTATCGCGCATTCACACACGGCTGCACGCACTCGGCAGAGAGGGAAAGCGAGCGAGAGACCACCTTGCGTGTACGGAGAGTCCATGTAATAAATGAATAAAAGCGTTTTATTTCATAGTGCCCACGCAATGGCATGGCAGCTTTATCAATGGCTTGAGCGGTTTGCCTCAAAACTATTGCTTTCTCGACAGAGCTCAGCTGGAGAGCTCAAACATGGACTGCTCAAAAATCTGTAGACGTTATGAAAGCATGAGAGCTATGGGACCGAGCGCGAGCAAAATCCAGTGAAAAGATGATAACGAGTGCACTGAGAGGACGCAAAATGAAACTAATGAAAACGTCTCCATTAATTTGTGCATGTAGTCATTTAATGCAATACTTTAAAAGCCTTTTTCAAAATATTTGCTACTTGCAAATGCTAATTTGTAGGCCATTGAATTTTTTTTTATAATAATATATTCATTAAAATTAAAAACAAACATGAACTAACATTAACAATGGACAAAATCCCCACTATCTGACCCCCGAAGGCCGCTGTGTAGGCTAATTCAAACCCAGACAAAGACCCATTGGGTGAAGCATTGAAATAATACTATAATGCATATAAAAAATTAAGAATCGAATCGAATTAATCGAATCGCATCGAATTTGGATGTGAATCGCATCGAATCGAATCGTTCTGAATTTGCACAAATCGTTCATGAATCGAATCAAAAACCTATGAATCGTGAATCGAATCGATTCGCTGTCTACCCAAAGATTCACAGCCCTAATATACATGCATATATGAACCTATATATGTACACATATAGGTGCATATATGTACCTATACAAGTACATGTATGCATGTATATATGAACATATATGTTTACCTATACATGCACCAACATGTTTACCTATATTAGAATAATTATTAAAATCCATAGCTACTAGGCAACATAAATAATAGTCCAAAATGTATGCATTTAGATTATTTATTTACTTAAGATCAAATAGTACAAAAACAAAAATAAGACAAAAAAACTGGATAGAAAAAAAAAACTTTTTGATCTTCTCAGCTCCATGAGATTTGAATTGATAGACGTGCCCATCTCCCCTCGGCTGGCTGACGGCCACTTCTTCAATGTAGCATCTAGAGAATAGGGGTGTGCAAAGCAGCCGCTATTTGTATTTGTATTTGTTCAGGGAGGAAAAGTATTTGTATTTGTATTTGTATTCGAGTAAAATTCAAAATAGACATAAAAATCTTTAAAAATACTTAATAGTGTATGGATTCTTTAATTATATCCATTATAATAATTATGGATATGCAATATTGGTTGATTTTTTCTATAAATCCAGCAATGAACATGTAACAAGAAAAGTAATTGAAAAGAAAATAACAGTCAGCCATTACCTCATGAACCATGGTTAAACCAACAACTAATAAAATACAATTGTGAACATTATGAACCCCAACACCACGGTGGAGGACGCTGTGCAGACAGAATAAGTTATATGGATAATTTATAGTGAGGAGGTTGATTATGAGCCCGACGCGAAGCCTGAAGGGTTTTCGCTATAACTACGCCTCGCTCTACATTACCCCGCTTATTACATGGCTACCTACCAAATAAACCAATAATTTGACTCAAAATATGGATATAAAAAGGAGTTTATTGATTTAAAAAGCGATTGTATCGCTCCCGCTAAAAAAAGAAAAATAGTCCGTTCTGTCTCTACGTTTAGAATCCATGGCAACGCTGTTTTTCATAGCAACGGTGTGTTATACTTATAATCAGCGGCCTGTTATAATAACAGACCGCATTCTACATTGGAATTCAATCAAGCCATGAAACAAATAATTACCGTTACCGAGCTTACCGAGCTAACAGAGCTACGTTAACAGAGCGAACATGAGAGCACCCGTCTGCAGACGTCAATAATGGAATATACTCCCGATCAAACTCCGCTTCCCGAAAGTTATAAACTGCCACCGGAACATAGTTAAGGTACAAACATCTATTAAACAAAAATAGTGATGCAGTTAAGTGTTTTTTTCGCTCAGCCGAGCCCTCTCTGTTGCTGTGTGGAGCAGCCTGTGTCAGTCACCTCTTCCTGAACGTCACTCACTTAACTCGCGCACTGCGGTCTCGTGAGGAACTCAGCTTTTTGATATAAAGTATTTCTTGTTCCCGAATACAAATATTTTTTTAAGTATTTGTTCGGAATAAGTATTCGTAAAAAACACATTATTTGTACCTTTCCGAATACCGTATTCGGATTCGGCTCCACCCCTACTAGAGAAGACAAAAATAATAAGACACTATAATAATAATAATAATAATAAGAAGAAGAATATAGTACTTCATCAGGAACCCAAAGTGCTTACAGTACAGATGTGATCGGACACATATTTTTTGATAAAAGGCTGATCATTTTAAAAAATGCGTCATGTAAACATGTCAATTGGAAGATTCTGAAAAATCAGAAACGTGGCTTAAGAAAAGGAAAGTTAGGATCAAGAACTGAGCAAGCGATGAATTAGTATTATAGGTTCCAAGTAGATATAGTAACAATAATCCCTTATACAGTCTCCATTGATGCCTAATAAACATTGATACAAGTAGGCTATGGTTAAAGTGGTGAACTTATAAAATCCTAATGCGTTGAGAAGGGAAAACAAAACTTTTATACATTTACTCACCAATAATGATGCCTTTTTAATTTGGTCAAGGGCGACCAGCTGCTCCCCATCCCCTCTGGTTGGCTTCCCACCTTAAAGTAAAATTTCAAAATTATTATAAAAGGGGGTTAAAACGAAGCTTGTGAAAGCAATACTTTTTTTATATACACATCACATTTTCTTGAGGTGGAAGGAAATACAAAAATGGCAAGTAAAAAAGCGATGGTATGCCCGCACACAAACATAATTTATTCCACAAAATATTAATTGTTTTGTACCATTCAGGTTGTTTTCAGCAAAGTCTCCAGATCAAATGTGCCCAGCAGCAGATTCCACACCATGGCAGTAGCAGAGGTGGCAAGGAGGGCTGCTTTCCACACTTCTGCCTGGCAAAACACCCCAGAGCCCTTTATAACTTCAATCTGAAAAATAATTTATTCATTTATTGCCATTGTTTCATATTGATTCTTATGCTTAGCTTCCCAATAGTTTATATGTTTACAAATGAATTACTAGGAGTGCTACTTGGGTGTTACGAGGTGCGTTCCTACAGGAACAACTTACTCTAGATAAGACAGGTCACATTTACATATCAGGATAGTTTAAAATATCAATATAAATGGATACATGTAACAACAGTTTATATGTTTTTATGTATAAATGCAGATTAATGATAAAGATATGAAACAAATTAATAATTGCCCTAAATGTTCTTAAAGGAGAGGAGGAGGAGGACAGGGTGGGGGTGGGGGGGGTATTTATTAATAAATAAATAAAAATTGAAGGGGGTTACTCACCGGTTGCACTTCTCAAAAGAGGAGGAATCTAAATCCTCCACAGGACTCCTTCCAGTCTTGTTCATAGAAGAAAAATAAAAGTTATTCTCTTCAATAAATTAAAGTGCAAATAACTTAAATCAAATAATTAACACTATCAATCAGCCCAACATCACAAGTCTCTACAGCTCTGCTAGAGAAACAATTTTAAAAAGCAAAATCAGAGGAACTTACCTTTTGAGCAATAATGGCGAGGTAACTTTTCATTTGAGGTAATTCTAGAAAGAGGTTATATAAAGAAAAAAAAAAACAATTACAATCACTTAATCAAAATAGTAATGCCCCAACGTTAATGTTTACTATTTGAAAGACATTTCCTGCAACTGTGAAGGCAAGCCCATTGATACGGCTCTGGAGAGGAAACCTGGTTGTGAATGCAATTTTCTTTCACCAATTTCGACCAAAATCAAACTCCACAGGTATTTTTTTTTTCTGGAGCCGATTGCCCTCTTGAGCCGTTGGCAGAGAAGTATCATTTATTCTCATGATGTTATGTTCTCTTGGCCATGACTTTTGTTAACCCTCTACGAATTCCTCCAGAAAGAAACAAATAAATACACGTTAATTCTAAATTGAATCTTATCAACGGCTAAGTTATATTAGCACCCACAGTAACGTTACGTTACCTCACCAGCTAACAACATAGAAAGTGTATGGGCTGAAACAGGTGTGTTTGGCAAAAAATAAATGCTAAGTTTATACTTCTCTGCCACCGCAATTTCCATGGTTCATCAGATCAATGTTTTTAATCCAAAAATTCATATGAAACACTCAAAATACAGTGCAGCACAACAACTTTACACAACATTTCAAGTAATGAACATGTTAACTCACTGGTCTATCAAATGTTGTTTTAATAATGTTGGATAATAAAACATCGCTGTTTTAGGACATCCAGGTCAGAGCGGAAAAAGAGGAGGAGAGAGTAGAAAATGAAACTAAGCGAGGAGATGAGAGCAGTATGTCCAAGGCAATCACATTAAGATTTTGTTGTATCTAAACTTTTTGATTCCATTACTTGGTTTCCCTCGATCACAATAGACAAATCTGATGGATCCTCCTCAGCCATGACATTGTGCTTCACAATCACCTTCATATTTTTGTCTGTGTAGTCCTCACATTCCTGCATGTAAAAAACAAACAAAAAGCATGCACATTTTTATTTTATGTAAGATGCTGTTTCAATATATTTCAGTTTATCTAAAAGGAGAGCAGAGGGGGAGTGGAAGGCAAAAGGAGAAGGTGGATACAAGAAGAGAGGAGGATCCTTTGAGTTAATCAAAAATCTGACATACCTGGTATGACATACATACCTGGTAGTAATGGCAGCATCTCTTTTTTTTCTCAATGTTCTGTGTCTGTAGGGAGATACAATTTAGTGATGTTAGAATGTTAGCGAAGTGGGGAGTGATTTACATATACTAAGACCGAATTACGGCCCTGGAACAGACTGGCGACCGGTCCAGAATGAACACTGCCCCTTCACCTGATAAATGCTGGGTTGGCTCAAAAATCTTGTGACCCGAACGGACAAAGCAGTAAAGAAAATAGATGGATAAGACCGAATTCACACATTGATGTTAAAAGGTTTAAGTTGGTAAGGAGCTCAACTTTGCGCACAACAAATCAATTGTTTACAAATTAATTTAGTTTTAATTCACTCATATCAATAATCACATATTTGTGAAAAAATAAAATCACATACGTCATTTAAAGTGTCCAGCAGAGGACACATCTTGCAACCAGCTACTTCTCCTTTGGCACGCATTAGCCGCAAAAGACCTCGTGAGTACTCATCAAGCTTCCGTGTGAATGTCTCCTCCAAGGAATATGTTGTGATGCGTCTAAACTCCTCCTTGATCTAGGAAGTTAAATGACCAAAATTTACATTTTAAATTAAAGACCAGCTCTCATAGTATTCACATGAATGTATACTAGTGGTAAGCAGGGGCGCAACTACCCAGTTTCGGAGGGGTATGCAGCAACAATTTTAGCGCTTAAAAATAAAAAATAAAATAAATGTAATGCAAGTGTGCTGTGTAATAAGTGAGTAGGAAGAAATGAGAGCTAACAGAAAAAAATAAGTGCAAAATTGTCGTTTATTAACACAATTAGCTACTCCACCTTGATGATCCCCCCTAAGAAAACTATAAGCTCCATTGTAACAGCAATACCAGTGTTTCTCACAGGATTTTAGGTAAAACTGTGGTAGGTGGACCTCTGTGTCTGTAGGGGGGTTCGGGGGCATGCTCCCCCGTAAGAAATTTTTGTGTTCTGTAATGTTAAATTCAGCAGTCTGGTGCACTTTGAGAGTTCAAAATTAAAAGCTCCAACCCATATTCAGGGTGCAAATTAAACAGAGAAAAATTTGAACCTCTTTTAGTTAGTGTCTGTCTACATTACACTACTACAAAATAATAGTTATAATATTAATCCCATGATAGTAATAGCCATAAAGGCTATTGTAAAACAAATGCACAGAAAAATAAAGGAAACTTTCATAATTAGTTTTGCACTAATTTCTATACTTGAAAGATACTTGCGCATAATGACATATTTCATGGGCCAGTGTGTCAGAAAAAAAAAACTAAAGCTGACTTTTTTTGACCAATGCATTACACCAGCACAGCGCCGCCAATTAAGCAAAAAACAAAACAAAAACAAAAAACAAACAAACAAATGGGCCGCCGATGTATGAGTTTTGTGGGCCGTTAAGACAAATAAATTAAAAAAAGAATGAAATGTATTGGCTGAAAAGCACGTCGGCCCATCGGGAATCTCAGTTCCGATGGCCACTGAGATATACTGTAGATAGCCATGCCTGGATGTCACATTTTAAATCCTACCTGTTGGCTTTCAGCAATGCATGCAGTTATTTAGCTGCTGTCGCATCAATTGACATGCCATCTCCTTTTCTCTCTTTCTTTTTCTATTTTGAGCACCACAGCATTTTGTTTTATCCATCTTTTTCGACGACAACTAACTACTCGTACCTGCTCGCTCAGCGCTCACGGCGCCCCCGCCCGCTCGCGATATTACCCGCCCCCCTTCTCCATGAGGGCGCCTACTCTAGCCTGGCTGTTAGTCCTCTAAAATTTTATATAACATTGAAGGAATGCAGAAATGATTTAGAAATGCACAACGGCAGCTACATATAGAAATAGCTGCCGTTGTAGCCTATATATAATTTTTTTTTTTTTTTTTACCATCGCTTTGGCGCCCCCCATTGTGCTGCGCCCCTATGCGCCGCATATAGCGCATACCCACTTTTTGCGCCACTGGTGGTAAGTAAAAATTACAAGAAATTCTCACCTGAGCTTCAGTGAATAATGCTGGCCACCTTTCTATAAACACACCCACAGAGGGGCTGAGGCTGACCACTTCAATTTCTTTTATCCGTTTTCACTTCTGTTGACACTGTAGGCTATCAACTGTAAATTAAAAAAAGAAACATTTCAGTAAACATCCTATAAAAAAAAAAACCCATAAAAATATCAGCTATAGATGGCAGGTGCATTCTGAGGGTTAGGTAGCATGTTAGCTTAGCACACATCAATAGTACACTACAATTTATGAGATTATAAAACCATGTTTTTGCTCCAAAATTACTTTATAATGCATGTCGAATGCTTTAAATAACCTTCTGTGATCTGATTTGGCTTCGGATAAAAAAACGGACATAAAATATTGTATTTTATAGTATTCTGGACTAGATTATATCGATTAACATTAACTTACATTATAAATGTAATATATTATGAAGTTATCTGCATGGCTTGAAGAACACAAATAATGCGTCATATATCGTTGCAATCATGTTATCTGCAAGTATTCTGCGATCTTTGGAAACTTTGTTGTGGTTTCAGGTGTCACAGGTCATGTGGCTCTTCTTCGTGATATATTATGTAGTAACGTTATAAATTATGTGCACACGACAGGCCGCCCGCCGGCTGCCAGTGTGTATTGAAAACACACTACATCCGAGGAGTATCCAGCGCTATGATTACATCCGCCCATTTTGGGTGTATTCAATAAATATAATTCCTCTAACGTTATACAGAAATCTGACAGAAACCTATGATAATCAATAAATATTTCTCAGAATCTGCATATTTTTGAGCTAAAGCACTTGTTTGGTCGAGCTCTGTCATGACGACGACAGAGGGATTTATGAATGGGAGCGGATGAATGACGCACATAATTCATATTAAAAGCGCCATCGACTGTTTTTTATTGCATAACTCCTTTAATTAATTAATACATAACCGTCACTATAAGTTTCTCAGAAACAGTGGTCAAATACTGAAACTTGAGTCTTATATACGTTTAATAATGTATAATTTGTCAAGGTAATTACATTAAATCTGATAGTAACTTTGAAATCTGTGCCCAACGGCCTACCGTCGGCTTGATGTGTTCCGCCATGGTGACGCCATCGACAGATTCAAACTTTAATTTCAAGTAATAATGACATGTTAAACAAACGAAAGCCCAATTAAAGCGAAGTGTAATGTCTCATAATTAAAAATATATATGCACTCCTATGTAAATAGCTTACCTTCACTTCTGCTGTTCGATGGCAGCCAGAGAGAAGATCCAGCGTCGCCCACACTCACTCAATAAGAAACCGCGGGCCTACGCATGCGCAATTTAAAGGAAAAAACTCACGGTTTGGGGGTATATTTCCTGAAGTGAGTCTATTTTGGAGTCAATGTGCGAGATCATGTCGTGCTTCATTTGCTGCATCATGTTGAAAATAATTTGAAGAGTAAGTTAGCTCACCCGTTGGTTCACCCATTGTGAAGGCAGCTTTTCCACTCGCACAAAACGAAGAGTGAGATCGCAGAGTTCGTAGATTTGAAGCTACAGGCCGCTTTAGTATCTCTTTCTTGATTCACCACGTATACAACAATGACAAATGGCACCAAATACTTGGAAAGATCTTAATACGCTTAGTAGGCAAAAGGATTGAGCCAGCAGAGATCTCGCAGCACTCGCTCACTCAGCAGCCGTCTCGAAATGAAATTGACAATTTTACTGTGTAAACGGTAAAAACGCAAAAGTCTGCTTGACAGTGAAAGTTGTACGCCGGCGCGTGGTCTTGCTAGCCGACCGTTAGCCGCCTGAAGTGCGGTTAGAAATTCAAAAAAGCCTGAAATTCAATACCACATTGAATTTCACACCGTTTTGCGTCACCATTTGCACGTGGATTTCACACACAAAACGCTCGTCTAAACGCAGAATAAAAAGTGATGACGCAACGCCACTTTTGCGTTTTCTCTTCAGAATCGTTTCCGTGTAAACATAGCCTCAAAAACTCTCCACCGCCGCGTTCCCGAGTAAACGGTAAAAACGCAAAAGTCTGCTTGACTGTGAAGTTTGTACGCAGGCGCGTGGACTTGGTGTTGTTGTAGTATGCACTCCTAGCCGCCTGAAGTGCATACTACATTGAATTTCACACACTTTGCGTCACCGTTTGCACGCGGATTTCCTACACAAAACGCTCGTCTTAACGCAGAATAAAAAGTGATGACACAACGCCACTTTTGCGTTTTCTCTTCAGTATCGTTTCCGTGTAAACGTAGTCCAAGTGTGTCTGCTCCTGCCGATCTACTGTCCTGCAGTTTATCTCAAACCTAATCAAACACACCTAAAGAAACCATTTAAGGTCTTCAGGATCACTTGAAAATTAAAGGCAGCTGTGTTTGATTTGGGTTGGAGATGAACTGTGCAGGACAGTCGATCGGCAGGAGTTTTATTTAAGTTTGTTATATATATCTTACCTTTGGTTTAGCTGGGATGCATGACTGCAGCAAGGAACAGTCTGGAATAAAAAAGGGTGCGGCCTTTTCCTGGTGTCCTTTATATCTCGTGGAGAACTATGGGAAATGTAGTTTTCAGGACAATATAAGTTGAGGTTGTGTGTTAATTCACATGTGTTTAAAGGAGGTGTTTTATGTATGAATGTCTAAGTGTATTTTCTTTGTTGCTTTATGAATAAATGTTATTCTTATGTTCATTCGTGTCCGTGTATTGCTGTATATATTTTCCCCTTTTATGTTTGCTGTAATAGAATGAGAAGTCTTGTGATTACCCCTGTAATTATCAAAATGGTTTGGTCCGGGTAGTTAAAAGAGCTTCAATGTCTGTGGCTGGGTTAGTTCTGGCGTGGGATCACTTAGATACAGAACTCTAGTGATGTGATGCTGAAGCTCATGCCGAAGCTAATTCTGAAGCTCATTCCGAAGCTCATTCCGAAGCTCATTCCGAAGGTCATTCCGAAGGTCATTCCGAAGGTCATTCCGAAGCTCATTCCGAAGGTCATTCCGAAGGTCATGTCGAAGGTCATGCCGAAGCTCACACCGAAGCTCACGCGGACGCTCACGCCGCGCTGATGCCGACGATGATGCTGACGATGATGCTGACGATGATGCTGACGATGATGCTGACGATGATGCTGACGATGACGCTGACGATGTTGCTGACGATGTTGCTGACGCTCACGTGACAAGCTGATGCTCATGCACATGCTGCTGAATGTTTATGGTGCACATGCTGCTCATGCTCATCGGCTCATGCTGCTCATGCTGACGCTAATTCTACGGCTGACGCTGGCGCACATGCTGACGCTCCTGCTGATCGTGACGCTGACGCTGATGCTGCTCCTCATACCGCTCATGTTGCACTTGCTTATGCTGCTCATGCTGCTCATGCTTATGCTGCACATGCTGCTCATGCTCATTTGCTCATGCAGCCAAGCTGATGCTAACGCTGACGCTCATGACGAAGTTCATGCCTCGCACTGCATTCATGCCTCGCACTGCACTCATGCTACGGCTGACGCACACTGCTCATGCTCACACTGCTCATGCTCACACTGCTCATGCTCACACTGCTCATGCTCACACTGCTCATGCTCACACTGCTCATACTCACACTGCTCATGCTCACACTGCTCATACTCACACTGCTCATGCTCACACTGCTCATGCTCACACTGCTCATGCTCACACTGCTCATACTCACACTGCTCATGCTCACACTGCTCATGCTCACAATGCTCATGCTCACACTGCTCATGCTCACACTGCTCATACTCACACTGCTCATGCTCACACTGCTCATACTCACACTGCTCATGCTCACACTGCTCATACTCACACTGCTCATGCTCACAATGCTCATGCTCACACTGCTCATGCTCACACTGCTCATACTCACACTGCTCATGCTCACACTGCTCATGCTCACACTCATGCTGCTGCTCTTGCTCATGCCGACGGGAAGTCACTTATTTCCAGGGGTTTCAGTACAGCGTAAAAAGCGTGACGTTGTAGAGTAGGCGTTCTCCTAAATACAAATTTTCATAGGTCACCGGACATGCACGCTAAGTGTTTTTTTTTCTTTTTTTTTCCCCCGCGCTAAGTGTATTGAGGATAACATTACACCAATGGTTTTCGTTTTTGTCGCTAAGAAACAATCCGGTTAAAATTTATTTTTTATGTCATGTCAAAGTTAATTATTTCAAAGTCACACGCTAATATTACACAATCTCGCTATTAAACAACCAGAAATATTGGAATACGCCATGATCCCTGGCACACATTTAACAAAATTATAAAAAGAAACGAATAAAATAAACTGTGTTGTAGCTATATTGAAGTTAAAAGTGGATGACATTAACCTTTCTCTATTGACCAGAATTATTTGTCAACCCAGAATGTAATACAATATGAATAAAAGTCCTGCACTTGTTTTCACTAATTCCATGATTCAAAGACAGGTAATTGGTGAAATGTACTGTCAGTTATAAAAATGGCATATGTGCATGTGATACCTGTCCTAACTGTAATCTGCATCAGATACCCGTGTTTGTATTTACAGGGGTTTCACGAGATTCCTGTCCTAACTGAAATCTGCATCAGATACCTGTGTGTGTGTTTACAGGGGTTTCATGAGATACCCGTCCTATAACTGTACATGTGCATCAGATACCTGTGTGTGTGTTTACAGGGGCTTCATGCGATACCCGTCATAACTTTACATCTGCATCAGATACCTGTGTGTGTGTTTACAGGGGTTTCACGAGTTCACACTACATATAATTTTGAGTGAGTAAGATTCAATGCATATTTGGCGTGCTGTCCGGAAGGAGGGCTCCGAGCTCGGAATTCTGCCCGAACCCAGAGTACTCCCCCCGTATGTAAGTGATTTTTAGAAAGAGGAGTGTGGAGAACTAGGAGTGTGGAGAAGGGGTGGAGGAGGGATGCTGCAAACTGTCAATGGATCGAGGTAAGACTGCTGAGTCTATTTGTACCCTCTTATCATTGATTGCTGATTGCTGTCCACTCGTGTCAATTATCTGAACGTGCTCCTCCCGAACTTAGTTAATAAAACTTCATTTCATGAGATACCCGTCCTAACTGTACATGTGCATCAGATACCTGTGTGTGTGTTTACAGGGGTTTCATGAGATACCCGTCCTAACTTTAGATCTGCATCAGATACCTGTGTGTGTGTTTACAGGGGTTTCATGCGATACCCGTCCTAACTGTACATGTGCATCAGATACCTGTGTGTGTGTTTACAGGGGTTTCATGCGATACCTGTCCTAACTGTACATGTGCATCAGATACCTGTGTGTGTGTTTACAGGGGTTTCATGCGATACCCGTCCTAACTTTACATGTGCATCAGATACCTGTGTGTGTGTTTACAGGGGTTTCATGCGATACCTGTCCTAACTGTACATGTGAATCAGATACCTGTGTGTGTGTTTACAGGGGTTTCATGAGATTCCCGTCCTAACTTTACATGTGCATCAGATACCTGTGTGTGTGTTTACAGGGGTTTCATGCGATACCCGTCCTAACTGTACATGTGCATCAGATACCTGTGTGTGTGTTTACAGGGGTTTCATGCGATACCCGTCCTAACTTTACATGTGCATCAGATACCTGTGTGTGTGTTTACAGGGGTTTCATGCGATACCCGTCCTAACTGTACATGTGCATCAGATACCTGTGTGTGTGTTTACAGGGGTTTCATGCGATACCCGTCCTAACTGTACATGTGCATCAGATACCTGTGTGTGTGTTTACAGGGGCTTCATGCGATACCCGTCATAACTTTACATCTGCATCAGATACCTGTGTGTGTGTTTACAGGGGCTTCACGAGTTCACACTACATATAATTTTGAGTGAGTAAGATTCAATGCATATTTGGCGTGCCGTCCGGAAGGAGGGCTCCGAGCTCGGAATTCTGCCCCAACCCAGAGTACTCCCCCCGTATGTAAGTGATTTTTAGAAAGAGGAGTGTGGAGAACTAGGAGTGTGGAGAAGGGGTGGAGGAGGGATGCTGCAAACTGTCAATGGATCGAGGTAAGACTGCTGAGTCTATTTGTACCCTCTTATCATTGATTGCTGATTGCTGTCCACTCGTGTCAATTATCTGAACATGCTCCTCCCGAACTTAGTTAATAAAACTTCATTTCATGAGATACCCGTCCTAACTGTACATGTGCATCAGATAC